ATTGTTATTTTCATTATTATCATTATCATCATTATTACTGAGATTATTATTTTAATTATTCTCAGGATTACTTTTATTACCATCATTGATATGATTATTACCACTATTATTACTAGTATTATCATTATTGTTATTGTTATAATCATAATTAATGTAGTTATTGTTTTTCATATTATCATTATTATTATTATTATTATTATCATTATTATTAGTAGTAGTAGTAGTAGTATCATTATTATTATTATCAGTTTTATTCATATTCTTATTCTTTATCATCATTGTTACTATTATTATTACTATCATTATTATTATCAATATGAACATTATCTTTATTGTACTAATTATATCATTACCAGCATTATCATTAGTATTATCATTTTTGTTCTTATTGTTGTTTTAGTATGTTTATGATTTTTATTGTTACAAATATTATGAAGACTATAATTAGTTATATAATTATCGTTATTATCGTTGTTATCATTATTTTCATTTTAGTTATTATAATCATTATACTCATCATTATTGTTATTAATATTGTTAATTTGTATTATTGTTAACTTCACTACTTGTAATTATTACTATTATAATTACTATCATCATTATGATTAACGTTATTGTTATTAGCATCAATATCATCATCTATTATCATTATTATCATTATTATCATTATCATCATTATCATCCTTTATCATCAATTCTATCATCATCAGTATTATTATTATTATCATTATTATTTTCATTAATACCGCTGCCATTTTTTATCATTTTCATTAATACTGTTGCCATTTTTTATCATTTTTATTAATACTGTTGTCATTTTTTATCATTATCATTATCACTGATACTATTATCATTATATGTGTCATTATCAACATCAGAAATATTTAGGATGAAAATAACGACAATGAATATGTGGAATTATGTGCTAGTCAATATGTACTGAAACTGTAATAGAAATACAGTATTACGTTATTGATATTGGTAATGACTATCACGAGTATATGCTACTCTTCATGCTAACAAAGATGCTCTTAACCTTTTTAAACCTAAAGTCACATTCACGTTCCTCTGAGGAAGCAGAGACCGACGCCGTTCACGAGGAGGCCAGGGCTCGGTGACGGAGGACCTCAGCGACGAACGTGAGGCAGGACACGGCGAGGCCCACGAGCAGCAGGAGAAAGGCGCCCTGGAGGTGCTCGACGCGCAGCACCAGCCGGTTGTCCCTCGACTGAAAGGATGAAGGTCACGCTTTTGTTTGCAGTCGATTTGCTTATTGGTGAGCGTCATGGAAAATAGGTGTGTGTGTGTTTGTGTGTCAGAGAGAGAGAGAGAGGAAGAGAAAGAGATAGAGAGAAGGGAAATGAGGGAGGGAGGGAGGGAGAGAGAGAGAGAGAATGAGAAGGAGAGAAGGGGGAAAAAGTAGCCAAAGATAGGATCAGCGCACTCGCCTGCACCAAGTCGTTCCTGGCAGAGGCCTTCCTGGAGTTCTCTCGCAGGACCTCCTTCATCCAGTAGTTCACGAGACCTGCTTCCACAAGGAGCTGCTTCAGTCTGTCCATGTGGCTCTTTAGCGGGTTTCCTTTCCTGCAATATCCGTAAAACAGTAAATAAAAAGCTCATATAAATTGAAGGACAAATATACAAATAGAAATTTAGATAGAGGGACATAGTTAGACAAGTACAGAAGAGGATATATGTAAAATCAAAAAATAAAATAAATAGCAACAATACTCGGCATCCCATATCTCATGGACATGTTTGAGTAAAATGTAGGTCAGATTATAATACTTTTCTTATCATAGTCATGTGATCACTTTACATGTAAATGTTTGTTAGTTCTGTTGACTAGATAACACAAAAAGACACTAAGGTGTGTGTGTGTGCATTAGTGCATGTGAGAGTGTGAACGCCTGTGTCCACCTAAGTTTGTTAGGTGAGACTTCAAATTTATAACCAGGATAATTATTATATAGAACCTGGCTTTACATCGCATGTCAGTTTGTTGTCTAATATACTCAATATACTTTTATATTCGATTATATAATGGCAATGCACAGTTATTATCAAAATTGGGCGGGGGACGTATCATGGGTGTATTCACTACATACTAATATATTGATCACTCTAGAAAAAAGGTAAACAGCAATATTGACAAATGCAGAGAGAGAGAGAGAGAGAGAGAGAGACGGGGAAAACACAAATAATCACACATACAGATAGACAAACCCACAGGCAGAAAGATAGACAGAGACAGAGAATACATTTCTGTTACATCTCTCATCCTCCACATGCTCGCCATATCTCGCCGCACATATTCTTAACAGGAAAGATAAGCGTAAGCCCAGCTGACCTGAGGCCCCAGCCGAGTCCAGAGAAGAGATTGTATTCTGTGCGGCTGATGTAGGCGTTGGTGTTGCCGAACCTGTCGGAGTAGTTCCTGGCGATGATGTCGACCGCGAAGAACTTGGAGACAATAAACCCGTATTGCGTTGAAAGAACT